GCTGTGGGCGACACCTGCTATGCCGTCGATAGCTCAGTTGGTAGAGCGGAGGACTGTAGAGTCGCAGCTATCCTTAGGTCGCTGGTTCGAATCCGGCTCGACGGAGTGTTTTTGCAAACTCTCCGAATAGCACCATTCCTGAATATGCACTTAACTGACTATGAGTTTCTCTATGACAAATGTGGAATTCTGTTGATGAGGCAAAGTAAGCCTTACTTCATCTCGCTGGTCCGTGTTGCATGAAGTTGCTTCAGTTCACCTTATCGTTTGTCCCGCACTGAGCTGGAGAATTTACCCGCGTTTATAGGATTCAGAGTGATATTCACTTTATTACCCAGTCTTTTGATTCAGATCCTTACTCAAGCGCAATTCTGTTCATTGCACCACTTTGCAACTACAGTAGTCGACTTATTTATTTGAATTGTGATGTACAACGGCAGTAGTTTGTGTGGTATCATTCTCTGATAATCACATCCTGGTGATAACTCTTATTTGCCTTTTTTCTTCAGCATTTCCCTAGGTGATATTTTCCACAGGTTCTTCCGTTATTCCCTTGAAGTTGAGTGTGCATCACTGGTGTGTATTCTTGTGTCATATCAACAATGCCAAATGGAGAAATAGAAAACTACTGAACAGTCAGTATTTGCTGGCCTATATATGTATCGGATTAAGCTGCTTGCACTCGAAATCTCTGACATGCACAAGCGTTGAGGCGAATAGGAGATGGGAGAATCATTTTGTGCAACAAATTAGTCCCGGCCGTAAATGCCATGGTTCTCCATGAGTGGTTCAGTCGAGTTTTGAGTCGTCGAGAGGGGGGCATGTAGTACGTGTGGAACAGCAAAATCACGAAAAGCGAACCACCCACTCGCAACCACTCTTAGAAGGCCTAAACGTAAATGCGCCTAAACGTAAATGCGACCCTCCCCCCTCCCAACAATGACCAAGTACGACCCCCCCCCCTTTACAACGTCCGTGAAGCGAGAAAAATCAACTATCAAAAAAATTTTTCCCAGCCCAAATACGACCCCCCCCCCTTTTTTTGGGATGCCCCAACAACGATGTGCCCTGCATTTAGTGAGCGTTTTTATACTTATAGATAAGTACCGTATCGAATCAACTAATCGTCACGGTGCTCAGTTCGGCTTTGTGGGAAGGGGGAGCTAAAAATGGTGAGTAAGCGAAGGTTTTACAGCCACCTTGTGACGACCTGTAAATTTCTGTGACCAAAACGACTAGCTTGGAACATTTCTTAGCTTCACACGAATGACAGGTCGCACTAATGTGAGACCTGTTAGTAAACAACAAAAGGAACCAGTAAAAATGCAAAACGCCCTCCCCCAGTTTGGATATGGAGGACTTAAATGACTTGAAAGGGTATGGGGGAGGGGGAGGGGGAAGGGTGAAGTTCTACTTTCGGACTGCTGCAGG